TGTTCATGGATAGGCAGAACTAACATCATCAAAATGGCGATATTAACAAAAGTTCTCTATAGGTTTAATGCAATGCCAATCAAAATCCCAACGGCATTTCTTGTAGAAATAGAGAAAGCAATCATGAAATTCATATGGAAAAATAAAAGACCCAGAATAGCAAAAACAATGCTAAGCAGGAAGTGTGAATCAGGCGGTATAGCGATACCAGACTTCAAACTATACTACAGAGCAGTAGTAACAAAAACAGCATGGTACTGGTACCAAAACAGGCGGGTGGACCAATGGTACAGAATAGAGGACACAGAAACCAATCCACAAAACTACAACTATCTTATATTTGATAAAGGGGCTAAAAGCATGCAATGGAGGAAGGATAGCATCTTCAACAAATGGTGCTGGGAAAACTGGAAATCCATATGCAACAAAATGAAACGGAATCCCTTTCTCTCGCCATGCACAAAAGTGAATTCAAAATGGATCAAGGAACTTGATATCAAATCAGAGACGCACCGTCTGATAGAAGAAAAAGTTGGCTACGATCTACAGTCGGTGGGGTCGGGCTCCAAATTCCTCAATAGGACACCCATAGCACAAAAGTTAATAACTAGAATCAACAAATGGGACTTACTCAAACTAAAAAGTTTTTTCTCAGCAAAAGATACAATAAGAGAGGTAAATAGGGAGCCTACACCCTGGGAACAAATCTTTACTCCTCACACTTCAGATAGAGCCCTAATATCCAGAGTATACAAAGAACTCAAAAAATTAGACAATAAGAGAACAAACAACCCAATCAACAAATGGGCCAAGGACCTGAACAGACACTTCTCAGAGGAGGACATACAGTCAATCAACAAGTACATGAAAAAATGCTCACCATCTCTAGCAGTCAGAGAAATGCAAATCAAAACCACCCTAAGATACCATCTCACTCCAGTAAGATTGGCAGCCATTATGAAGTCAAACAACAACAAGTGCTGGCGAGGATGTGGGGAAAAGGGTACACTTGTACATTGCTGGTGGGACTGCAGATTGGTGCAGCCAATTTGGAAAGCAGTATGGAGATTTCTTGGAAAGCTGGGAATGGAGCCACCATTTGACCCAGCTATTCCCCTTCTTGGTCTATTCCCTAAAGACCTAAAAAGAGCATGCTACAGGGACACTGCTACATCGATGTTCATAGCAGCACAGTTCACAATAGCAAGACTGTGGAACCAACCTAGATGCCCTTCAATAGACGAATGGATAAAAAAAATGTGGCATTTATACACAATGGAGTATTACTCTGCATTAAAAAATGACAAAATCATAGAATTTACAGGGAAATGGATGGCATTAGAGCAGATTATGCTAAGTGAAGCTAGCCAATCCCTAAAAAACAAATGCCAAATGTCTTCTTTGATATAAGGAGAGTAACTAAGATCAGAGTAGGGACGAAGAGCAGGAGAAGAAGATTAACATTTAACAGGGATGAGAGGTGGGTGGGAAAGGGAGAGAGAAGGGAAATTGCATGGTAATGGAAGGAGACCCTCAGGGTTATACAGTGGAGGGGGTAGAGAGAGAGGAGGGGAGGGGAGGGGAGAGGTGGGGAGGGGGGAGGGGGGAGGATGGGAAAGGCAGCGGAGCACAACAGACACTAGTATGGCAATATGTAAATCAATGGATGTGTAACTGATGTGATTCTGCAATCTGTGTATGGGGTGAAGGTGGGAGTTCATAACCCACTTGAATCAAAGTGTGGAATATGATATGTCAAGAAATTTGTAATGTTTTGAACAACCCACAATAAAAAATTAAAAATAAAAAAATTAAAAAAAAGAAATCGCACATAGCAAAAATCACTCAAGTATAGTAAGATTAATGGGGACTCACTTGTAAAATTCCATATCCAATCTCATAGTCCAAGTCTTCAAAAATAACAAAAGGACATTTAGTATTCCCTCATATTTTCTTCAACGAACTGATGAAACAAAGTTAGTCTTAAGAAAATGTAACAATGGAGTAAGATCTTGAGGGCAATTGAGAAAAAAAAATGTGTATTAATATCCAGAAAGGAAAGTGACTGTGGCATTGCTATTACTCTTCCTGTCTTTCCTCTTCTTCACCTTCGCCTTTTTTATCCCTCTAGGATATCAACTAGAGTTGCATTGAATTTGTTGATTGGTGGTAGAGAGCTACCCATTTTAAGTCATGATATCACTCACCAAGACTATAATTTCCTAAAATTAAATCCCAAGTGGCCCCAATATTTGATAAACAGACAGCATGTGTGATTTTGCTCCTTGTCCTTCTGCTACAGATAAGAGCAGCTATCTATAGCTTTGATGTATATGATACCAAATCATTTGATGTACATAATACCTTTTGTACATAATACTCAAGGCATCAAGACTCAGATAGGCCAAATTCCTCTGCATTGAGTAAACATACCTGCATGAAACCAGGGGCAGAGGGCCCTGGAATCAGGTCATCAGAAAAGCATAAGTAAGCCAGGTACAGTGGCACAGAAGGCTGAGGCAGGGAGATCACGAGTTCAAAGTCAGCCTCGGCAAAAGCAAGGCACTAAGCACCTCAGTGAGACCCTGTCTCTAAATAAAATACTAAACAGGGCTGGGGTGTGACTTGGTGGTCAAGTTCCCCTAAGTTCAATCCCTGGTACCCCCCCCCCAAAAAAAAAGCAAGAGAAAGAAAAGCTTAAGTGACACAGAGCTCCACTAATCACTCTGAAGGGTAGTTCACCCTCTGGTGCGTAGTTCAGTGTAAATCATGGAGAAGGGGCACCCCACGCTTACACGGGAGTTTCCAGGTTGGAAGAAGAGTCCTGGAGAACTCCCAAGGTCTGGAGACTAGTTTCCATTTTTGGCTGATGAGTAGCATCCACTAGCCAACTTCCTCCAATAGCTGCTTCAGCAACATATCAATTCTCGCCATCTGCGAGCCTAGCCAAAAACTTTCTTGCTGCATTTTAAACATATTTCCTCCTAGCCTTTCTCTGAAATGACCCTAGCAAACACCTGCAAAACTAGAAGAACTACTTGTTCAAAGCCTGCCCTGAGTATGGTGCTTTCATCAGGATGGGCAATTCCAATTATGTTGTTTATCTACTGAGGCACACGGAGTCTCAGCACCTCAGGGACTTCCTTTAATTTGTTTGTCTCCTTTTGTTAATTGGATAAGCTAAGTGAAATGAAGTGAAGTGTTTCTTATGGAAGTGCCTGCAAAAAGTCACTGCATATACATCGATCGAGATGGCATTCTCCAGAAATTACCAGTGGCAGAGGGATACAGAGAACAGCCTACATTGCACGTGTGCTCTCTTACCCTAGTGAAAATGCAGCTGCTCTCCCAAGCCCCCTGACAACAGAGACCAGTTTTTTTTTTAATTTATTTATTTTAATTAGGTTTATATGAGAGCAGAATACATTTTGATTCATTGTACACAATTGCAGCACAACTTTACATGTCTATGTTTGTACATGATGTAGCGTCACACCATATGTGCAGTCATACATGTGCCTAGGGTAATGATGTCCATCTTATTCCACCATCTTTCCTGTCCCTATGTACCTCCCAACCCCCCTCCCCTTTTCCCAATCAAAGTTCCTCCATTTTTCCATGCCTCCCCCCTCCCTGTTATGAATCAGCATCTATTCATCAGAGAGAATATTTGGCCTTTGGTTTTGTGGGATTGGCTTACTTTGCTTAGTATGATATTCTCTAATTCCATCTATTTACCTGCAAATGCCATAATTTTATTCTCTTTTAATTGCTGAGTAATATTCCATTGTGTATATGTACCACAGTTTCTTTATCCATTCATCTATTGAAGGGCATATAGGTTGCTTCCACAGTTTAGCTATTGTGAATTGAGCTGCTATGAACATTGATGTGGCTGCATCACTATAGTATGCTGATTTTAAGTCCTTTGGGTATAGACCAAGGAATGGGATAGCTGAGACAAATCATGGTTCCATTCCAAGTTTTCCAAGGCCCTTTTTTATTTTTTTATCTTGAGGTAGGGTCTCACCAGGTTGTTTACAGCCTTTCTAAGTTGCTGGGGCTTGTTTCAAAACTGCATCCTCCTGCCTCAGCCTCTGGAGCCGCTGGGATTACAGGCAAGTGCACCACACCCAGCTGGAAGACTAGTATTTAATGATGTTTCCACTACTAAATTGCTGAGGCTGACCTTGAACTAATGATCCCCCTGCCTCTTGTTTACAGGTGTGCACCACTGCCACTGCACCCTTAGGAGGCTTCTTTAAGAAAAATGATAGCTGGCTGCTGTAGCACACAACTATAATGTGGGAGCCTTGGGAGTTTGAGACAAGAGGATCCCAGCTGTGTGATCTTGGGCCGGTGACTTAACTGCTCTCTGCTCAGTGTCCACATCCGAAAGATGAGAAAACCAAGAAGCTGATAAAAGATACTTCAGATAGGTGCTATGGCAGCTCCAAAGATGAAGACGCAAAGCACTTAGCCTAGTGTCTGGACCATGGTAACTGCACAAAAAAACCTTCCTTATTATTAGGAGTGTCATTATCATTTTGAATTTTCACCCCATATGATTTCCTTATCACAAAGCCTCACTTTCTGAGCAGAGTTTAAGAAAGAAAAAGAAAATGAAGTCCAAGTTCACACGTCTTGCTAATACAACTGTGGGTACGGTACACATGTGGCATGACTATGAAGCCTAGCCCCACTCTGAAATAATTATGGCACATCCAGAGGACAGCAAGCGTTCTGCCTGCTCCATTAAATGTCTCCTTAGCCTGAGAGCTGATTCATCCTGAGGTCATAAAGCATCTATCTTCAAAACACTGTATGAATATCCCATTGTGCAATTAAGTCAGACCTGTCTAGTTTTGCCTTCCTTGAGAGAAATGTGCTTATTCAGCAAAAGTGAAAAGGGTCAACATAAACTAGTCACATATATATATATATATATATATATATATATATATATATATATATATATATAAATGTGTCCTGCAACCTGTACACGTGGAAAAATGAGAATCCATACCCCATTTGAATCAAATGTATGATGTCAAGATCATTGTATTGTCATGAGCAACTAATACAAATAAATAAGTAAATAAATAAAAATATTAGGAAAGAAAAAATAAATAAATAAATGTGCAAGGAGTGGATGGGTGGAAATAAAACAAGAAAGACCATTTGGAAATGATTAAATTACATCATTTGTATTTGCACAGCCCATTCCTCTGATTTTGATGCCATAGTGTCCCTTGAAATAGGTAAATGCATATTGTTTCCATATTGCCAGTTTATAGATTTTTTAATTTCACAGTCCATTGTTCTTATTTTCAACAACAACAACAACAAAGTGGGGAGAGAAGAAGAAGGAAAGAAAAAAAAGTACCCACCCTGTATTTCATAGCCTTTCTGGGTATTAGCCCTGATAGTCGGGTTCTCACCTCTGTCTCCCTCTGAGAGAAGAGAATGGGGAAATTGGAAAAGAAATTGACAAACAAGTTATAAGAGCAGACCACTGCAGCTTCCTCCCTTTGAATTTTTCTTTTGAAATACTAGTGTATTTCCAAGCCCAAGATATCTGTAAGTCTGATAAACAGAATGCAAAGATTTAATTTCCCCTAATTTCCAATAGCCACCTCTAACCATCCCAAATGGCCAGATAATCTGAACAGAATCAGCATGCCTGCCGGGTCAACACGACTTCAAGACAAAATTCCAGCCTCCCTTCCCAAGAGATGGCTGGCCCTTAAGCCCCTCCTGTGTACAAACCGGCAAAGCAGACTGGAATGTTCTGGTAATAGAAGTTAATTGAATTCTCTGAGGGTTAATCAGGAAAACTTATCTGCTTCCATCACTGTAATGGAGATCCATTCTTAAGATGTTTTAGTTCAGTTCTTGTCTCAGTAGACAGACTGACCCTCTTGTAAACCTGTCATGGTTCAAAATCTTGCAGCATCTCACAGCCTCCCTGTGAATCTTAACACAAAGTCATTCTGTGGATTCACTCATTTACCATTTCTTCCATCCTACTGTGAGTTCAATAAATATTTGTTGAATTGAACTGAGGAAAGCCACAAAGGGAGAAGGAGGTGCTGGAAGCCCTAGGAGAAAAAGAATTGAAATCAGGGCCAAGTCTTACAGCCCAGCACAATGGCTGGTACTAAGGAAGCATTCAATCCATGTTTGCTAATGTAATTAATAGTGAGGTAGGGGTTGGAGCAAAGACCACGGTAAACCAGTTCACGAATTTGCCCTATTTGCCTTTATTTTGGCTTCATCTGCATAAGGATAATTGACAGGAAGCATAAATTATTTGAACATTATTTAAAAAAAAATCATCCTGTCTTATTGTTAAACTCTCAGGTTTCCAAGCATTCTTTATTATTTGGGTTACTTGAAGGTCACTATTCATTATTCTTTTAAAAATATTTACATTTGAGTGACCTTCAAAGTCATCTAAGATGCTTAAAAACAACAATATATATGATTTAGGAAAAAGAGGGAAGTATCTAATTCCTTAATCAAATATTTCTCTCTCTCTCTCTCTCTCTCTCTCTCTCTCTCTCTCTCTCTCTCTCAGTTTGCAGTGCTGGGGATTGAACCCAGGACCTCATGCATGCTAGGCAAGCTGTCTACCACTGAGCTAGACCCCCCAGTTCTATCAAATATTTCTTGAGCATCTGCGGTGCACCAAGCCCCAAGAATTCATTTGTAAGCAGAACAAATATGGCCACTAACCCACAGTTATAAATCAATCAAAACATAATTACATCATGGAAGAGGTTCCACTAGGGACACAACCCAGAGAGGTGGGACCCCCACAAGGATAGGGCTCCCGTGGACTTCTTCTTCACCTAAGGACTTGCTCACCAATTGTTCACATCTCCTCCAAGTGATGGTCCAGCTGGAATCCCTCCAGCAAACTGGCTGGTAGTGCAAAGAGATTCCAAATTGCTGTAGCTTCTCTTTTAGAATCAGCAGCCATTCTGATTTCCTAAATCCAGAAATCATTGCTTTAAGTGTATACAAACAAACAAATAGAACAGTCTTGCAGAACCCAAGAACAGGAAATACATCTAGAAATCTGGGGCTGCTCCTAGACACTCTCAGGAGCTATACCCTCATGTGCTTCATTCTTCTGCATGCCTGCCTCCACGCCTCAGTTCGTGTGGAAGAACCAGGTCAGAGGCAGCAGGCAGGCAGGTCACTAGCTGGGCCAACCACATCTTCAGCCTCCTAGAGAGACAGACGTCTCTTTCTAAGTGTTGGTCCCAAGTTGAGGAAGGGCTCTGATTGACCCTCTTGAGTCAGGTGTCCCTGGACACAGGGAGGGGCTGTGTGTTAACATAAAGGCCTCTACCTTCACTATGGAGGGATGGGGGAAGAGGGAAGGGTTCACTGCCAGGAACAGAAGGGGTACAGGCTGCCAAAACCACGGGGATCCTGAAAAACAGGACAAAGGTCCTTCCCAGTGGGTGAGGAACAATGCTCAGAGAAAGAAGTTGAGGGTGTGGGGGCAGAAACTTCAAACTTTCACCCAGGCCATAGACCTTGGGATCATTTTGACTCCTCCCTCTGTCACCATCCACCCACTTCCTGAACGTCTAACAACTCCTATTACTACTTTTCAGAAGACTTCCTAGGAATTCCTTTTTCTTTCTTACTCGAGTTGCCTAGTTTGGGTCCTCGGTGCCTCCCTCTTGGGTTCTCTGATCACACCACTGGTTTGCCAATCCTCTCCCCTCTTCCATTCACTCTATGGTCAACCTAATCTTCCCAAAACATCACCTGGAAGAGCTTATTTCCCAGAGTTACAGACCTTCAGCGTCACCTGGCTGCCTGAGGAATAAAGTCCAAACCCTTTGGCTGGCTATTCAAGACTGTTCCTAGCTATAATTAGCACTGCTAATTACGTGCTCCATATCTATGGCCTCTGTGTCCTCTATATACCCTGACCTAGAGTTTCCTGCCATGTTCCTTGGGTGTGATTTCACCAAACCCCAATCTCAGGAGTAGGGCTCCAATGGATTAAAGCCCACCAATGCAGCTCCATCACCCTGGACCCAGCGACTAGATCAGAAAAAGACACTGACCTAGGCCGAAGTCACCCAGCACCATCTCCAGGTCACAGCACTGGTTCAGGGGATGGCATATGAGCCTAGGTGACCCACCAGAATGAACTTTGGGACTTGTGCTAGAAAGACTGGGGTACAGAGGCCCTTCTTGCTCCTTGACATGAACTGAGAAATTTATAGTCCAAGAGGCTGCTGCCAACCATCATGATTCCATAGAATTGCTGAAAACAGGGCAATTTGCCTAAAAACAACTTTCTGGAAGCCAGTTAGCTGAAAGCCAATTTCTGAATCAAATTTAAAATATAAGCATAATTCATTGACTGTTTTAAAAAAGAATGCTCCTTAAATCATGTTTTTGGCAAACCAGTCATCTGGAAAATTGGCTTAGTGCCAGGGTGCTGGAGTCTGGATGAAGCCTCCTTCAGGAGAGTGGAAAGACATGAATGCAAGGTCCTTGGTGTGGTTTTGAACTCTATAGATTGTCCTTGACCGAAACCTGCCACGCCTCCTGATATTTTCCACAGGTATCAGACTGACCCAAGTTGATTTGGGTTTTCTGTTACCTGCAACTGAGAGCATCCTCACTCATATAACCATGTATTTTTTAGAATATGTCCATATTTTGATCTTCTGACACTCATCAACCCAGTGTGCTTTTGTCTCCCCAGATGTTTGTCGGGCTTTTCCAGCTGTGCTTGCTCTTCCTCTCACTCCTCCCGCCAGCCCCTCTGCCTGGCCCACGTCCACCTGGCCTTCTAGATAGGAGCTCTTCCTCTGCTAGCGGAGCCTTCTTAGGCTGCTGTAGCCCTGATGGTCCCTTCCTCCTCTGCATTATAGTTCAGCTTCCTTGGCCACCAGGATGAAGACTCACTTTTCTTTGAAGGCCACAAGGAAGGGAGGCAGCTGTCTGGTAGCTCCTTCCTGGCTCTCATCAGAAACCTCCCAGCCACCCTCTCATGCTGTTGTCTGCTATCTCTCTGTTTCTGCTCTGGTGCATCTCTGTGGATAGATGGACACTTAGTTATAATTGCTGTTCCCTTGCAATGTCGGCTTCTGTGGTCTCCCTCAGAACCCCACTTCCACCTGGGGATATCCTTTCAGTTTCTGCCCCCCCCCCAGCTCTCTCCCTGGGTCCAATCTAGACTTCCTAGAGTTCCAATCTGATTGGAACTACTCTTTGAAGGGTCCATAGCTCCTTCCATATAGGTTGAGGGAGGGAGGCCTGGAAACCTAAAAACAAGTGTCACCAGATCAGCTGGCCTTTCAGGATGCTGTCCCACCCACCCGGCCATCATAGACCCCCATTTGTGTAACTGTTATATGGAGCTATTTAAATATTGTTTGTGGGTTGGGGATGTGGCTCAAGCGGTAGCGCGCTCACCTGGCATGCGTGCTGCCCGGGTTCAATCCTCAGCACCACGTAGAAACAAAGATGTTGTGTCCGCCGAAAACTAAAAAAAAATAATAATAATAATAATAAATATAAAATTCTCTCTCTCTCTCCCTTTCTCTCCCTTTAAAAATATTCTCTCTCTTTAAAAATAAATAAATATTGTTTGTTATCTAAATGTTCACATCTTTGTTTCTTCTCTCTTTAACTAGATTACAAATTTCCTTAATAGCAGAGACAGTAGCTTTAAATGTCTATAATAAATGACAGCAATAAGTGAGCTACTAAGCACTCACCATGTACCAGGTATAGTTAAACCTGTTTACCAAAAGCTCCACAGTTCAAGACTCACCTGTAGCTTCTGCACTTTGCAGATGAGGAGGTTGAGTCACATGACCAGTCAGTTGTGTTTTGCTCCAGCCAGTTTCATTCCAGAATCGGGGTTCTTGGCACACGGCTCCTTCTCTAGCTGATGCAGACTATTGAACACCCTGTGGAAAAGGAAACCTACACCTCTCTGTACGCTGGGTTGGTTCCCTCTGGCACACTTTCCTTTTGGCTGAAAGCCCCTCTTTCAGAGTCGGCAACTAATGCCAGAGAACAGGGCCCTAGACAAGCCATTTTCAACCCAAAAACTCCCTCTTGGCTCAAAGCAAGCTCATAAGCCAGATGCCCCACCTCCCTCCTGTGATTTTCAGGCACAGCTTTGCAGGAATGTCAATCCAGGAGCTTTGTGCAAGGTGGCTTCTGTGGGCATGAGCAATTACTAGACAGACACGCGGGCTGCGGCGCCAGCCAGCAGATCACGTCAGCTGCTGCCATCTTCCCTCCATATCAAGCTCAGAAGGGGAGGGGCGTGTAAGCCTGGGTTCCTGGGTGAATGGTGTCAGGCGTGCTGGAGCTGAGCCCTGGTATTCCCGCCCCAGCAGTTAAGCCATTAACCCCTGTACCCCTACCCCCAGGTCCCCAGTGACGCCCCAACCAGAGACAGCTGGGCTTGCCCCCCCTCCAGCTCTCTGCCGGGCCGTTTAGGGGCTGTGGATGCTCCCAACCAACCTCCTCCTCAAGCAGAAAAAGCCCCTTAAAGATGGAGAGGTGAGGGCAGGGGAAATATTTAGAGCCACACAGGTCTGGGTGGCTGTGTGGGGAGGAAGCATTCAGGTTACTTTCTCCAGCCAGGTCCCTTCCAGCCCTGAGGAGTCTTCCTCTCTGCCTCTCTCCCCACCACCCCAGGCCCACAGGTGTATCCAGACCCCCTTCACCCCTCCCTTTCTCCTGTGAATCCTCCCCTCCCCCAGAGCCTTCTGACTGGGGACTTAGAGCTGGGAAAAGGGAAGAGCCCTGCTGAGGGGGGAGGAAGAGGAAGCAGAGATTCAGCTGACAGTGCCCAGTGGTGGAAGCCATGCCTCAGGCCGGAAAAGCCCCGCCAGGGACTCTGCTTTCCTGCCAGCAAGATGGGAGGGGAAGGCTGCAAGAAACTTCTCTAATGAAAGTGGGCAGGACTTCTCTCTTCACCGCCACCTTCTGCCCTGGTCTGAGGACCGACTCCCTTAGCTGTTCTGTCTTCTGAACAGGCACATAATCTTCACTTGGATGGTCAGGTTCAAATTAATTCATCTCCTCCAACACCATCCTTTTACAGTTGAAGAAACCAAGGCCCAGGAAGGGGGTGTGTCTTTGCCAAAGCCATACAACCAATGAGTGACAAGGCTGAGATGAGAAACTGATGCTCTGGGTACTACATCTACCCACAAGAAAGCCCTCAGAGAATGTGCAAGCCAGGTTCCTAGTATGGTGGGTGAGCAAGAGCCTGGGCCACTTATCTCTTCAAGCCTGCCCAGGTAGAGGACCTCAGTTTGTCCTGTCAGGAATTCTACTCCATCCAGACTCAGTCCTTCACCACAGCATATGGCCTATGGTCAGAAAGGCAGCTACAGCCTCCAACCACTCACAGCCCTGGTGTTTGCTCTGCTCTGCAGCCTGTCTGACAAATCAGGCTCCACTTGTACTTTGGAGTGGGCAGAAGCCTGCAGATTACAGAGCCTCTTCCAGCACAAACCAGCTAGTGCTGATGTTTCCTGCCCCCAAGCTGGACACCTTTATTCCCCTGGGCCTTGGAACATTTTCCAGTGCTTGTTTTCCTCAGCACCATAACTTCTCAAGGAGCAGCTAAGTTGGAGATCCTGTTGGATTCCTCTGGGAATGCCACAAAAAAAGACCCCCACCTCTGTCTTGCCCTCTGACCCAAATTAACAGGCTGCCATTTTGAAATCCCTACAAACCTAGAAGTGACAGAATGCCAGGTCTAGAACCTTCCAAGCACCAGTCAATGCCCAGCAGCAGCATTGCTTCTCAGTCTCTGTGAGGAAAGTACTGGGGAAGCAAGGGTGAGAATGAGGGGTAGGGCATCAGGCCTGCCTGAGAAAAAGTCACATGGACTGTCCCAGGAAAAGGCTATTAATAGGCCCCCTCCAAACAGGCATGCAGCTTCCTGGGCTGAGCTGTGTGAGGGTGAGTCAGCAGACCAAAGGCGAATGGAGAACCTGGGCAGCAGTTGCCTCTCCAGGAAGTGGAGGTTGTGAGACTGCACTTTTGAGCAAACTCCGGTGGGGCACCGCCTCTCCCTCCTTGTGCATGTGCTCTACTCCACTAGTGCATTACCAATATTGTAAGATTCAATTCCGAAATCAGAATTTACAACTGCAAAATTCACAATAGCTAAGCTATGGAACCAATCTAGGCGCCCTTCAACAGATGAATGGATAAAGAAAATGTGGTGTATATATATATATATATATATATATATATATATATATATATATATATACACACACACACACACACAATGGAATATTTATTACTCAGCCATAAAGGAGAATGAAATTATGGCATTTGCCAGTAAATGGATGGATCTGGAGACTATCATGCTAAATGAAATAAGCCAATCCCTAAAAACCAAAGGCCAAATGTTCTCTGACATGTGGATGCTGACTCACAATAGACAGGGAGTGTGGGGGGATGGAGGTTCACTGAACTGGACAGGGAGTATGGGGGAAAGGAGGGGGGATGGGAACGGGAAAGACAGTAGAATGAATCTGATATCACTTTCCTATGTTCATATATGAATATACAACCAGTGTAACTTCACATAATGTATAATCACAAGAATGGGAAAGTTATACTCCATGTATATATGACATATCAAAATACATTCTACTGTCATGTATAATAAAAAGAACAATTTTTTAAAATAATAATAAAACACATCACAGAGGAATAAATAACAATGATTCAAAGCTGCAAAAGCATCCAGAAAGCTCTTCCTCCCATTCCCCCCTCTCATACTTTCTCTTCCCTGACTAAGCCAGTCACCAGGGAAGAGGGCCTCATCCCTGCCATGTGAAGGGCTGCTTTGCCAGTGCTATGTAGGCCCCTCTCTGCACCTACCTAGCTGCTGACTCACTCTGGGATGAGCTCCCAGTGTAGATTAGACACACATTGTCAAACCCCAGGCCCTGTGACAGATGGTTTTACATATATTATCTCATCCTCACAATAGCCCCATGAGCCCAATATATTGATATCTCGAGTTCACAGATGAAGAATCAAAACACAAAGAGATTAAACTATTTGCCATTTGTCAAGTGCCTAACTATGCCAGGGGCTTATACACAGTTTTTGGATAGTTCAAGATGGATGTTTTGCAGATGAGGAAACTAAAGCTCAGAGGGATGGAGGCAGCAGAAAGTGGCAGCATTGTGACTTATTCTGGGTCTTCCTGACTCCCATCCATACCTTGCTTCCTTCAGGCCACGAGGTAACAGGACCCCAGAAGCATCTCTGCCTCTAAGTAGACCACACCCACTACCTCCCCAGAAAAGGACCACCCACCTTGTGTGCCCTGATTAAAGTCTGTCAGTCTACAGGTACCTGTCCTCAGGGAAGATCTCCTTTATCAAAAAGGCCGTCTTATACCTTCATCCTCCTAAAAGGAAGGGCCAAGTGGGGCCATAATTCCAAAGTCCAAAGAGAGAAAGGTAAATGCATGTCCTGAAGGGGGTGCTTTCTTGCAATCAAGCCCTGTGGCTGTGTGAGCCAAGCTCCCTGTCAGCCCTAGGTTTGACTACAGTGACCTTAATGGAAACAAACATAACCTCAACCTGGTCATTTTTATCATCTCACAAACTTGTGTGATTTGGGGATGGTAAATGGTGCCGTAGTCTGGCTGGGCACCAAATCGGGAGGTCACGAGCCACTTGTAGGTTCAAACAGGAACTCCTTTATTGCCTGAACTCCATCAGCACTCCACGCGCACACCCCCCCCCCAACTCTCCCAGCCCTCAACGAGGCTCCTCGAGAACTCAACGGGAACTCAACAGGAACTCCGTGAGAACTCAAAAGTAGCGGGCACCCGAGGCAGCAGGAGCTGCCCTATTGCCGGACAGCAGGGGTCTATATACAACTGAATACACAGCCTGTTTAAATCCAGCATCATCCAGTCACAGCAATTATACACAGCTTAACTTAATTATCATCATCTTAATGGCTCCTTGGCGTCACCTCTCAACCACTCCTTCTGGCAAAATGCCATGCGACATCCCGACTCAGCTATGGCTCTCAACATCTCCTCCCTTCTGTTTAATTAAACAACAAGCATGTGGCTTAGGGACCGTGCCTATCTTAGGTTGTCCAATACTGCATATGGTCCTTACCTGTCATCGGATGAGCTGACCTCAAGGCGTCAGCCTCCTGTCTTAGGTTGGTACCATTGCAGTTGGATCTTACCGGTCATTGACTACCAGCCCAGCATACAGCCATACTTGTGGATAGGCCTTTCCACCAGTGGCGGGGGTGAGGTTCTTTTCCTCACCTCTGTTGGCCCCCAAATTTTAGGTGAACGACCATCACAAACAGAAGGGAGGAGGATACAAAATGCCACTACACCAAGCCAATTGATGGCTCCTTTTGGAAAAATTGTACCACTGATGACACCATCAGCAAAAATACCCCGGCACTACCACAAGTCGCTGCACCAACAGATAGTTCACAATGCATACAAGTGATACATAGTCCAGGCAAGTTCTGCAAGCAGTTCAAAGCAGAGGAATCCATCAATATGTCCATTTACTCCCAAAGCAAATCGACTTCTTGATTGAGCATCACTTGTTGAATTACATTATTCATTGATGCATCAGTTTATACAGTTTGTTGTGATAGCTATCGCAGAAGCTGTAGTTTGGTTTTATCTTTGTCTTAACTGGCACTGGGATGAAGATAGGAATTCTGGCAATGATGGCTAAAAAAAAAATATGTAACATTCCAGCAGGCACTAAAAGAAAGCAATTTTCTAAACAATTTAGTATCCTGAATAGAATTATATGTCCTTCCACTAATTGTTGTTTGACCAGGTCATGGGCTGCTTGTATCTTTTCTTTAGTCAGGGGCCACTGAGGAACCCATAAAGGCCTTTCTGGTTTCCAAGTAATTTTTATTGTCTCAGTGACCCCTCCTGAAAACCCAATCCATGTCTGTCTGTTCCTTGATCTATTTTTATTGGTGCTGCTATACCTTGTTCTTGTTCTCCTAATCTTTTTCCTTTCCTAAAACCTTGTCTAGCCATAATAGTGGGCACATTTGGATTGATGTTATTTGTTAATGTCAAACCTAATTGATCTAGGACATCTCGTCCCCATAAATTTATAGGAAGATGATCCAATACATATAGCTGTATAGTTCCTTCACATCCTTCAGGATCCTTCCAATCTAATACCATTGCACTTCTATGGGGATTAGTCGCCACTCCTAGGCCTCCAAGCGTTTGAGTGGCTTGTTGTAACAGCCAATGTTTTGGCCATTCTTGACAAGAGATGATGCTAAGGTCTGCACCTGTATCCAGTAGCCCATTAAATTCAT